GGCGGCGGAGGCGTTTGGTGACGACGACGGCGGTGGCGGCGGCGGAGTTTGGTGACGACGATGGAGGTGGCGGCGGCGGCGGCTTTTGGCGACGTGGATGGCGGCGGTGGCGCTGCAGAAGATGACTAACGGTGGTTTTCTATTTTTTAGGGGTTGTGTCTCTTTTGTGGAAATTTGATATCCTTAGAGGGCTATTTTGCATTTTTTACACTTTCAATATATGTGTATTTTTATTTATGTATGACATTTTATAATTAAATAAATATTAATTGATGCACAATAATGAAACACTATATGCACCATATTGTGTGTATGTGTGCACTTTAAAAAATAATGTCATAAGTATACGAAATTATTAAAAATTTTATAAATCCGTCATTTTTTAGGATAAGTGAATTTCACAAAATTGTGTATAGATATGCTCTTTAAAAGTAAAAAACTAATAATCAAAATGAAATGTAAAGATCGAACTAAATATTCACATTGTAATTTTATTAAACTATATATTTTGCACCACTTATCGTTCGGTCGGTTTGCTTGTCTCGGTCGTTTTAATTAATAATATCGACATAGAATTGAAATATTCAAAATTTTAAAAGAATTAAATTGAAATATAAAATATCGAACCAAAATATAAGACTTTGAACCCAACATATATAGTTCGGTATGTTTGGTTATTTCAAAACGAGAAAAAAAATTTCAATCGGTCAATTTCGGTCCATAATGTGCAATTTGATAATCATTAATGTGCAATTTTTCTATCAATATTGTGCAACTGCGACACAATACTTGTAATGGTTAACCGAATTACCTTAAATAATTGAAATTCTTTATTATTTATATTATAAAAATATATGTAGTATTTTAATAATTATATTTAATACGCTATAGTATTCTTGGTCGAAAAGATATAATATATGCATAAATTGTTAAAGTGCATTTCCACAAACACCAATGTGCAGATCGTCTAACATTATTGTGCAATATATTTCTTTATATGTATTTCATATTTAGAAAACTTTAATAACGTGTATATCATTTAACATTATTTTTGCATTTATTAAATTATTTATATAATAAAAATATATTTAATATTTAGTATTTTATTATTTTTATTTAATGTTTATATTACTTTGTTGGTTGAAAAATATCTAATATATATATAAAAGAATATAAAATATTATAATTTTAATTTAGTTCAATCGATTTTATTATTTTTAAAGACAAAGCTGACATCTAACCGAGATAATTGAAATTTAAAACTAAAAACAAATAATATAACCGACATATAAAAAAGAAAAAATTAATTCGATCAATTTCGATCGCTATTGTGCAATCTATTAATAATTAATGTGCATTTTGTATAAAACTATTGTGCTATCACATTGCATTTATATTTGTTGTGATGAAATCCAATAGATTGTGCATTTTATTTAAAATTAATATGCATCTATCAAACTTTCTAAAATTATAGATTTGCCACATGAATCAAATTGGAATATAATAAAAAATTATTAAATTGCAATCAAGTCATTTATAAACATCTAATTCCCACAAAAATGCCCAAATCCCAAAATGTGCCATCTTCTCCCTACCACCTGTCCGCTCCGGCAGCCCCTCCGGCCGGCGACGTCCGGAGGTACTAAATTGGATATAACAAACTTCTTNCGTTCAACGCGATCTGCCAGGCCATTTTCACCTTCCGTGCAGGCGGCGCTGCACCCTGTGGATGTGCCGCCGCCGCCAGCAAAACTGAGGCGAACCACAACATAGAGGGGCGAAATCGGCGGCGCGGGGGTGGTGGAAGAGGTGTTGTATCGACCTCTGAAAATCGGCGACGGTCCCCCTTGAGATTCGTGACGAAATTGAGAGACGGAATCGAAAACTCCGGCGAGGTTGAAGAAAAACGGCGACGACTGGACGGTGGGCGACAGCGGCGGAGGAAGTCGGCGGCTGCGGCGGAACTGGTTGTGGTGGCCGGCGAGGTGTGTGTGTGGGGTTGTGTGTGTTTCGGTGTGTGTGCGTGTCTGTGAGAGAGAGAATTGAATTGGGGAGAGAGAGAGAGATAACTTTGAATTGGTGAGAGAAAGAGACATGCGTGATTGAACCAAATAATTGGGAAGTGGGGCCCACTGATAGATAGATGGTGTAATTGTGTGCGAGTAAGTGTCTATAATACCCTTAATGAATTTAGAACTGCTGATTTTTTTTTAACTGTTGGATGATCAAATCTAATGGCTAGGATTTATTCTTATTTCCTGCATTGAGAACCATTCTCACCGGAGCGCGACCCTATATATATATATAGAGTTAGGATCACATGAGAATGGTAGATAGTGAAAGAAATAAGAATAAATCTAGACCATTAGATTGTTCAAATCAATGGTCATGATCAAGTCAAATTTAATTAATACCAGTCAAATATATTGTGGCAATTTCGTAATTAAATGGTCATATTCTGGTCAAATATATACATTTGACCACACATTAAGGGTATATTAGTCATTACAAGTTTTTTATCTCACCTAGTGGGACCCACACAACCCACCTCATCTCTCACACACACTAACACACAACTCTCACACACACTAACACACAACTCTCACACACAGATGACAGCACACAACCTCCCGATGCACCACCTCCACGGCTCCACCTCCGGCCGACGGCGTCCGACCACCGCCATCGATTCTGTCATCCCCGGAATCAACCACCAGCAGCCCCGTCACTACCCACCAGCAGCCCCGCCACCAAGCACCACCAGATCCGGCCCCAACCACTACCAAATCCGCCCTCAACCACTACCAATCCGGCCACCAACCACCACCAGCCCCGCCACCGACTCTAAACACCACGGCCCCGCCATCGACACCAACTACCACCGACTCTGCCATAACAACGAATAGTCCCGCCGCCGCACAGCCACCGCATGTAGTTATCAACCACCACCCGACCACCACCAACCCACCCACCAACCACCACCGGGCCCGCCATCGACACCAACCACCACTAGACCTTCCACAGTCGTGAGCATACCCGCTGCCGCACAGCCACATCGCCGCCGCACAGCCTGCAATTATCACCACCGACATCTAGCCGCTCCGCCTCTCTAACAAACGTCGTCGTCACCGTCAATCTTCGTCGCAGATGCCGTCCGCGGCGTCCATCTCCCCTCCGCGTTGCCATGGATTTCAGATGTCCAAGTTCCGGCCAAAACGGCCGGCCAGCAGAATTGAACACCTGCGGTAAATAAACACTCGATTCCACCTGTCCACCTCACTGTCCGTAAACGCCGGCGGCGAGTTGAAAAGATAAGGGAAGTGACGGCGAGATTTGTTCCTTTTTTTCGGGCTGATTGGAGACCAATTTTGGGATAATCTGATTTGGGGATGAAAGAAATCTTATTTTATCAATTGCCTTTTGTTTAAAAAAAGAACTTTAATTATAATATAAATAAATTAGTGGTTAAATATTTTATACTAAATTATTTAAAATTTAATAAATATAAACTAATGCCAAGTTAATGTAAAAAAAAGGTAAATAAAGTCGACATTGAACCGTAATAACCAAAATTTTAAACTATAACGCGATAATCAAAACGCCATATAAAATTTAGAACCAAAAATTATATTTCGGTCAGTTTTGATTGATATAGTGTGCAGTATGTGAGTCATTAATGTGCATTTTATATAACAATATCGTGCACGACTTTGGTCGTTAATATGCAATCTATCATATTGATTGAACTCATTTTTATCACAATCCAAATTAAAATCGAACATAAATGATTGATTTATTCGGTCACTTAAACGAATTAACCAAATGAACTTAATTAAATTATTATGTATATTTATAATATAGTAGTTAGTATTTTAAACCTAAAATAAAAAAAATAGTTAATCGGCTAGAATATAAAATTTCGAATCGATTATTTTATATTGAACATTTTCAATCGCTAATGTCAATCTAATAGTCATTTATGTGCAACGTGTCTAACACTATTGTACATTTTCCACACATAAAAATGTATAAATAATCCTATTGTGCAATCTAATAGTACATTTATTCTAACACTATTGTACATTTTCAATCGCTAATGTGCAATCTAATAGTCATTTATGTGCAACGTGTCTAACACTATCGTACATTTTCCACACATAAAAATGTATAAATAATAATAATAATAATAATAATAATAATAATAATAATAATAATAATAATAATAATAATGATGATGATGATGATGAAATAATTTTAATGTAGAATTCTATTTATTATTTTAATATTTTATTTGATAATTTTTCTATTACTATTAGTCGAACAAATATAATATTGAAATACCGAAGACGATAATGTGCATTCTCATAGACACTAATGTGCACTTAGTCTAACATTATTGTGCAGTCTACTGAGTGGGTATTTTTTATTGTGCATTATCAATTTGTATATATAATAAAAATATATTTAGCTTTTTACACTTTTTTCTTTAATAATTTATATTATTGTTAGCTGAAAATAAATAATTTATATAGATAAAATATAAAAATATTTTTTTATATAATTTAGTCAATTTTGTTATTTCACTTTTCTTTAGTTTAATTTATTTATTTTTAAAATAAAGTTGAAACCGAATTGTAATAATCAAAATTTAATATATGTAAAAATACACACTTTTTATGCTAATGTGCATTCACAAACGAATTAATGTGCAATCAATATAACATTAATGTGTAATATTATAATCACCAATATTCATTTTGTTTATTGTGCATTTTTTAATACATCAATGTGCATTTAATATAATACTAATATGCTTTTAATATATTACTAATGTGCACTCTTACATACATTGTACACTAATTATGTGCTTTTACTAAAATTTTCATTATTTACAGATTTACCCCACATACTTAATTGCAATATAATTAAAATTTGTAAAATTGCATATAAGACCCTGGAAATAATCTAATTTCCAATCTAAAGCCCCTGATTCAAAGTCCATATTCCGGCCGACCACCACCCACGACTCCGCCGTCCTGATCACAGGAGGTTGCCGACCAAAGCCTTCATGTTCCGCCGCCGTTCAGGGCCGAGTATACCCGTGACCGGAGTTCCACGTCCGACCACCATTATCGAAGTGCTTTCCGCCTGAAGAGACGTCGACCCACTTTGTTCACGACGCCGCCGTCGGCCTGGGGAGCAGATGTGACGTTCGACGGTGGCGAGGAGACAGACAGGGACGGGGAGGACGCCACCTGTAGAAAAAAGAGGGAGCACCTATGCCGGCGCCGGACGCGGCGTGGCAACGACGTCGTAGCCTCAGACGGAGCGATCTCGACTGTGACGGCGGAGTAGACCGAGGATCTAGGCATTGGAGACGTCGCCGGACGGCAGATCTGAGCAATTCTGTCGGTTCAAGTGCGTGCGTGTGTGTTTATGAGAGAGAGAGAGAGAGAGTGTGTGTGTGTGTGCAGATGGAGAGAGAGAGAGAGAAAAGATAGAGGAGAGAGAGTGCAGATGGACGGATTGGGTAGGGGAATTATTTATGGTGGGACCCACTGATGTGGTTAATGGTTTATGATAAAATATCCATAATACCCTTAAAAAAATATAATTTTAGATTTTTTTCAGCCACTAGATTATTTGATCTGGTGACTGAGATTTATTCTCATTTCTTTCATTGAGTACCATTCTCACCGGAGCGTGACCCTATATATATATATAT